ACGAAGTGTTTGGCTTTCTCCAGCGCGTTGGTATCCGGACACTCGTCCACGCGTGGGGACTGTCATTGCCAAGCGACGCTGTCGAGATGCTGGCGCTGCTTCTGGTCACGGACCCGGCGCTGCGTCCGTCCATGGCCACGGTACTGCAGCATCCGTACTGCCAGCCGCGCGCCTCGATCGATGTATCGTCGCGGTAGAGACGATGGTTTTGAGATTCCGAAAGGAGTCGTTAATCGTTCTGATAGAATAGTCTTTGAGTATTTTGTTGTTGGAATGTTATTCTGAGATTCGACGCGAAACGAGCTCGCATTTGAATTTTCGAGCAAGAAATTTCGTCTCGCGTGCTACGATTTAGAGCACCAAGACTCGAGTCGCCAACGACGTGGCGGCTTCGTTCCCCAATCGCGCGATGCCAATAGTTCAAATGCAGCGAATAGCATGCCTTCCAAGACGCAATTGGCATCTGATTGGCTAAGAAAGGCGTCACACGACCGTCGAGTTGGCATGCATGTGCGGTCGATGAGCTCACCTGGGCTAGCATACTAGTAGCTCCTTGAGGTTCAGCTATACAGCTTCCCGATCAATGACACGAGATAAATTGTTAATTTGTTGATTTATTGATCAGTAGATACATGATTAAGTCTTGGTCTCTACCGAGGGCGTAGTCGCGCGGGCTTGTCGGCGCATCGCGCTTGCGCTTGCGGCGTTGGTCGGTTGCTTCATTGCGCTGGTGGCGTCGTTGCACGCGCGTTGCTTCGTATGGAGGAGGCGAAGGTCGTGCGTCGTTGCAAAGTACTCGATCACGTCATGTTGGAGGTTGGCGACAGCGATATTGAGAGCGATGCGCCAATACCGTGGCTCGTTGTACGTGGTGCAGAGCCACTGGAGGAGCGCAAACTGGTTTTGAGCGCTAGCTTGCTCGAATGCCACTGCGATCATGCCGTGGGTGCTGTGATTCAAGAGGAAAGCCACGAGGTCCGTGCTGCCGCTCGTTACAGCGTGCCCAATGTGGTGGGCTCTGAAGGCGGCGACCACGCGTTGCTCCAAGAGGTCCTGCACGATGCAGAGCCGACCGCCACGCAGCGCAATCGCTACCAAATTCGGCAGGTACAAACCGACATCTTGCCCCATGGCAAAACGGAGCAAGTCGACGTGGTCGCCGAGACAGGCCGCGACTACAAGGTGACGCACGGCGCCGGAAATCGTTTCGCTACCAGTCTTTCCGTAGGAACAGGAGTTGCAGACATTCCCGCGGTGGTCGATGCTGTAGTGTTGGTGCAAATGAAGGTGCTTACCCACGCAGCGGCGCCACGCCCCGTAGTGGAGCGTCCAGCGTCCGCCGGCGATGCACAGCGTCTTCGTCGCCATGAGCTCGCGCAAGAGATCGACGCGGCCATACTCGAGCGCGTAGCCAAAGACAAGCGATGGACACAGCTGAGGCACGAAGCGGAAGCCGACGCGATCGAGCCACGGTGCCATGAGCGCATGCACGGACCCGAGGTCGCCGTCCGGCGGGTCGTGGCCGAGGCGCGTGAGGATGCGAACGTCTTGGTTGACGCCCACTTGGTAGGCAGTGACGAGCGGCAGGAGCTGCGCGCTCATGAGGACGCCGGGGCAGGCCATGGTCCCGGGCTTGCGTCTTGCGCCGCTGGATTGGATTTGAAATTTTAAACACGTGGCGTGTTTAAAACGTGTTTCAAACACATGGGACCGGGAGAATGAGGTGGCAGCGGGAGGCGGCGTGATTCGCGGGGTGGAGCGATGCCATTGGCTGCAATACAACGAATGACAGGCCGTTCAATGTGAAATTGGCTTTGGATTGGCTTATAATCGCGCCACAGCCCCAATCCGAGCTGAGCGTCACAAGATCGCAACAGGAATGGTGCAGCGTCGTGGCGCGTCAAGTCTGCGCTGACCAACGGCCCTGAATGCTACCTAGTCCACGCAGATACTGGTACGCGTGTTCAAGTTGTCAGTTCCACGTGGCAGCATGGCGTCCCACGTCGATACTGGTGGAGAAGTAGATGGATGGAAAGGGATTTAGGGATACATGGATAGATAGACGCGACGCACCTACAGTGTAGTACGCTATCTACGTGAGCGTGTCCGTCGGGTAGGCTAACCTTTGGTGTGACGCTTGTGGCGTCGTTGCACGCGCGCTGTCTCGGCTGAGGCGAAGATCGTGCGTCGGTGCAACGTAATCGATCATGTCGTGTTGGAGGTTGGTGGTTTGGAGAGCGATGCGCCAATGCACTGGTTCGTTGCACTGCGTACAGAGGCAGAAGAGGAGCGCAAGTTTTTCTGGTTCAGGGCGACCGCTTCTCGAAAGGCTACAAGAGTCATGCCACCAGATCTGTTCTTTAAGAGCAACGCGACGAGGCCCGGTTTGCCGATCGCTACGGTAAGCCGCATGTTACAGGCCTTGCAGCTGGAGATCACTCGTAGATTGAGGAGCTCTTGCACGATGCAGAGTCTGCCTGTGCGCGGTGCGATGGCTGTCAATGGCGGTCTTCATCATTAAAAAATGCAGCAATTCGAGAGGTGGTACACTTGACCAGAAAGGTGGCTCGCATTCCTCAGCCTTAGCGCGTCGTGAAACGACATACCACCGTACTCGAAGCAAACGGACCG